AAAAAAAAAAAAAAACAAGAGGATGAAGATAAATGATTAAAAATATCAAACACACTAATTCCTTGGCTCTGAGTTGTTGGTATGTACACAAGTATGTAAACCATCCTAAAAAAGAAAGTGAAAACATCTATGAATTGCGTGGAGGTACTTGAAAAAGAGGAGGCTCAGTTAACTTTGTATTTGGGTCTCTTTTTTTCTGCAGCAGCAGCCGTATTTCCAAATAAATTGAGATGAAAAGAAAAGTAAAAAAGAAACACAAAAATGTTATCATCAACCCTCTTGCTCCATTTCCTTTATAAAGCCCAAGGAAAATGTTCACAGGTGCAAGCACAATCACCAGTCTCCCCACCCAATGATGGATCTTGTTCCAGTAGTCTTGGGTCTTGCTGCTACTGGATGGCCTCACAATGAATTGGCATATCTGATCAAATCAAAAACAACCCCAACAAACAAGGTAAAAAAAAAGAGAGAGTTATTCATTAGTTTCGAGAATGGAACACATAACTTTGGTTGCGCGGATAAATACTCTTAACCAACAAACCTGTGTGGAACCGAAAATCATAGTTACGTATGACTTTGATGAATATTTTGTATTATTTTGAGAGGTTTAAGAGAAGGGGAAAAAACACCTGAAGAACACTGAGTGCGAGGATAGTGAATCCAAGGACTCTGTGGTAATTAAAATCAGCATGGATGAGATCATAGAGTGTCCTTCCAACAGCCACAGCAGCAAGACCAACAAAGAAGCCCACAAACTGAATTGATGAATGAAGGTAGTACCATAAAGGCTCATACTGCCTAAAATGTCTGGCTATAGGAACTCCAAATGGAATGATTATGCCCCATCCAGTTATAGCCAATATTCCATGGGTCAGCTTCACGCTTGTGCTGTCTACAAAACCAAGATATATAGCACCTGCATGCATGCATATGTACTATTAATTCAATTTCAAATTTGGATCATATTGGTTAATGATCATGTTGAAAAGAAAACCCCTAATAACCTCAAGATAATGAATACTATTAGACGATCACTAGACCCCAAAAGCTTAAATTGAATGTCTTACGGAACAAATATAATGGAATTGTGTGGCGACGATGGGGTTGGAAGATTCGATATTAGACAATCACTAGGCTCCAAAAGCTTAAATTATCAAGGAAATAAGCCAATGATGTTTATCAAGCTAACAATTACGTCATTTGCATGGAGAAGCTGACATGTAGACATAGAGAAGCATATAGGTTAAGGCTCCATTATGGGAGGTTTAGAACACTGTCATATAGAGAAACATACAATTTCCCCAAAAACTTAAAGCCGTCTGAAAATGAGCTAACAATGTATGTCAAGCAAATAAATATGCATGTGTGTATGAGAAATGAATTGACAAATGAACCAACCTCTGGAGAAGTCAACTGCCAAGGAGCTTCTGTATTTATGCTTCGGCAGGATATTGTTCTCAGCAGGCTTGCCAAACCCGCAAGCAAATAGAAATGGCTGCCGATTGAGACGTTGGGGAAACTGGAGTTGAAACCCCATGTAAATCATTTTGTCCTTGAGAACAATGGTAGGTGTAACATTGGTGAATTTCAAGTCACCTCTATCTGGTATCCCTTCTTCACTGGTCATACGTCCACTTAGAAAATACTGTTTTACTGTGCCGGATTTACCATCGTTGTTCATCCACCCCACCACCGCACTCGAACCGACCATCATCCCGTCCCTAGACACCCCGAC